TGGCTCATTTTCTATTCATGTTTGTTTACCATCTTTCATTCTTTAGTGGTTATTTGTTGTTCCTTTCATCTTGCGGAAATGTAAAATTCATTAAGTTATGAATAATAAACTGTTGAGAATGTTCCTCCTAAAAGTTACATAACAAGAGGGAGGGGTGTGGAGGGAGAGGGAGGGGCAGGAGGGGGAGGGAGGGGGCAGGAGGGGGATTAAGGGTAATTGTCGTCATTGTTTACCAACAGTCGTATCTTTACTTCAGCTACTCTTTAATAACTCTTAGTACAACTGTGTCACACACTGATGAGTAACACATTTGTTGTGTAAGTGAATCCTCCCTGACGGAGAGTCCTGGTTATGGTCCGTATCGAAGATTTATTAGAGAGAAGCAAGGACATGTGACACTGGCTGGCTGCACGCATGCTTCTGTCATCAGCTGGAGCACAGTGCGAGTCTGGCGGTTGTTGTGGGAGGACGTACGGCTTCGCGCGCTCTCGCTCGCGTGGTTGGGCGAGTCTGCCTGTACGATGATCAATATCTGTTTAAACCTGGTGTGCTTTCCGTCCGATATAGCAAATTGTGTAGAGAAATCAGTTGTGTGTTTAATGTTTGGTGAACTAGCCTGAAATTTTACTTACTCACGGACATTTGACAGTGGCGTTGTGTACCACGATTGCATGTCACATGGCTCTGACAGCAAGGTATCTTGAATAGTGTGTAATGTCTGCAGTTATTATACCGAGCCACTGTGGTGACAGTTTGTGATCATTGCTTGCTATCAGCGTGTATACTGGTGTACTGTATTGAGTCCGCTGACAGCCAACACGATCTAGATAAAGAGTTTGGTGTACGAGCTTCAAACAAGGTGATTACAGAGGACTCTGGAGGTGTACAGTTTGGTGCTCTGCCTGACACACACTGGTGTACCATGTGTGACGGTGGTGAGCCGTGGCTGTAGCTGGGGGAAACAGCAAGGTGTCGGTGGGTGCACAATCAATACTCCCAAACCCGTGGTGGCCGCCGCTGCTGCTGCCTCGCTCACTTCTGCTGGAGGCCACAGCTGTTTTGTGGTCTGCTGCCAATGTTTCTGGAGGCTAAAGCTGGCTTATGATCTGTCATTGCTGCTGGAGGCCACTGGAGGTTACTGCTGGTTTGTAGTCTCACAATCCAACTGTAAGCCAAAGCTAGCTTATGGTTTCCTGGCGGCGCTGCTGGAGGCTCCAGCTCACTTATGGTCTCCTGTCACTGCTTCAGGAGGCCAAAGCTGGGTTTTAGTCTCATGTTAGTGCTTTTAGAAGCCACGTCAGGTTAGAAGCTTCCTGCTGGACACTAGAGCGGGCCCGGGCTCATCAAAAATGGGAGGTGGAGGCCGTATCTTGGTGCTGTCCTGCGGGGAGGGGCTCTGAAGGCCGTAACTGGGTCATGCATATTGGTGATCGCTGCTAGAGGCCATAATCTGTCCTCTTGATACTGCCGGCGACCCCACAGTAGGTCGAGGTGGTTAGTCACGTCCAATATAAACTTAGACATTTCATACCTCATTATTTTTTTATTTAGAAAAAGAAAGCCAGGTGATAGTCATGTTAGGGTTTACCTGATGTACACTACCGGTCAGTCAACGAGTACGTCATCGGTATCTGGTTTAGCTATGACTGCTGGTCTTCCTTCCTCAGGCTGGAACGTCAATACAAATCTCAAATCACACATGGGTTAACTATAACACGTACAAAGGGAAACATGTAGGTAATTTCACTTAATATTTCCTCTTTCTCCCGTTGTAACTTGTGGAGTAAAATTTCCTGTGATTTTTATTTAGTTTTGTTCATTGAAATTAAGTAACGTTTAAATGTAAATGTCTGTTGGCCCAAAATATACAGGCGGGTTTTGGAGTGATTGTTTATTTTCGTCTTTGTATGTATTTGGTTTAAAAAAAAAAGTTCCTTAATATGGGAAAAAAATCTCGGGATAACCATCGAGTCAGGAAGGTGTTTCGGAGTTATGTTCTCAAGGTTAAGTTACGTTAGGTTTGGTAGCGTTTGGTTACGTTTGGTTACCTTAGGTTTGGTAACGTTTGATTAGGTTTGGTTACGTTTGGTTAGGGTACGTTACGTTTGGTTGCTGGTTTTTAAATCTATAGATGGTTATTTCGATATAGATTCAGCTATTACGTTAGACAAATTTAGATCAATAGTCATTTAGATTTTGAAGGATTAGAAGCTTTCCTGATATGAAACTCCGTAACTGATTGCCCAATTTGTTTTTGTATTTTAGATAAAAGTAATAATTTCAATTGTTTTATAACCATGGCCAAGCTACCTGGGGATATCAGTGAGCCATTATCATTGTGAGGAGGACCGCCGTAGTCTTATCTCCTAAGTAGCAGTTGATTTGGACCGTGAACAAGCTTTTAGAGATGAAATTGGTGGTGTTAGAGTGTAATAATAATAATTAACGGTTTATTGAAAGAGATTGGCAGCCAGAAGGCTGAAAATA